AGAGAGAGAGAGAGAGAGAGAGAGAGAGTTGACGGGGAGAAAAACGTTAATAAGAACACAGACAAAACATCCTCGTCCGGCTTAAAATCATAATCACAGTCATGACTGATATCGACGGACAACCGAAGACGAGGAAGTGAACCTCTAGCGATCCGACCACTAAAATTCGGAACCCATTTCCACGGTTTCTGTTGGTGGGGAGGCAGCGTTTGTATAATGTAGTTTGTACCGCACTCCGCCCTTTAGCAGCGCTTTCATGCCTCGAGGAGTCATGTTCTTTCTGAAAAAGAAAAGAAATACATTTCAGGAAAATCCATAAACTTGAATCATCATCATCATCATCATCATCATCATCATCATCATCATCATCATCATCATCATCATCATCATCATATTTCCTTTTCTCACCGTTGAAAAAGGTAGAGGCCACGAGCAAATACACGTACTTTCCACCTTCCATATCCTGGGTTAGCCTATAGATACATTATTGGAATTCCATGTTCTCCCCCTTTTTGGACATAATTCTATCTGACTCCTCTCCAGGTTCCCACATGGCCTTCTCCTTAATCTCTTGCCCTGGGGACTCCAATCCAGCATTTTCTTTGTTATGCAACTGCCAGGTTTCACGAGAATTATATGTCCAATCCATCGCTAATGCTATGTTCCCATTTGATTTATGGTATCTATAATAATAGAAACTTTGCTTCTACGGGCAAAACACCATTCTCGGTATAGCCCAGTTCTCGTTGTACCCTTTCCCCTTGGCTTTCAATGGCTCCAAATTGAGACAAATGGTGGTGGTGGTGCCGTCCTCAGAGAAATAGCCTTACGAACAGAGTGTGCGGTCTGGTAGAATATTATGGTGAAATATAAATCTATTGTAAAAACAAAGATGAAAAACCGAATTGGAAATGATGCATTAAAAAAAGTGCAGTGGTTGTTACACTCCCATCGACAGAATTTTCACAATTTAGAAGGCAGGCTTCTGACCCTGCCTATCGGGGCCAATCCGGGTTGAGAGGGATACATTCCAGAAGAAAGACCGAGATTCTCAATATTAATTTCCTCCCTGCTTGGGAATCTGCTTGGTTCACCTTATTGATTTGTTTTATTCTAGTAGAGGTTTTACGGCGCTCGCAACTGCATCAGGTCGTATGAGCGCCGAACCCTACACCCCGGACACCAGAGAAATAAAATAACCAACAAAGTTAAAGAGCATAGTATGACTGAATTAAAAAGAAATACTTTACAGAGCCACATTCAGTTTATGAATAAGTGATGACACTGCATCTTGTTTCTTTCTTCAATTTCAGAGAAATGAAAATTCAATGTCGTTTTAAGAAACAGTTGGCGTTTTGCCGTAGAAATAACGCCATAACAAATAAATGTCATGGATACAGGCATGCACGTAGTATTACGAGGTTCAAACTGGCATTTGTGTGTGTGTGTGTGTGTGTGTGTGTGTGTGTGTGTGTGTGTGTGTGTGTGTGTGTGTGTGTGTGTGTTTATGTGTGTGTGTGTGTGTGTGTGTGT